TACCGAAGCATCGATCGAACGCAGAAAAATGCAAGGCCTTGGTCAAGTAATCTGCCAGTTGCTCGTTCGTCGGGATGTACTGCAATTTCATCTTGCGACGCGCGATCATCCGCTGCAGCCACGTGTACTGCCGCTCCATATGCTTAAGGCTCCCCTAAATCCACATCCCTTCTGATACAAAAATGGCAGATTGATTGTCGATATAGAGCATTGTGGGCTCATCCTCGTCGAGGAGCCCATACTCTGCCAGCAAAAAGCGCAGCTTGCGAGCTTCTTTGCCAGCCTCCACGGCAGAGATGTACTCAGATTCCGTAGACGAAAGAGTGACACATTTTATCATCTTGCTCGCCCACGAAATTGCAGCTCCACCGAGGGTGAAAATGTAGCAACTTGTGCTATTGCGACTCTGCCCGTCGCCAGCATCATCAGCATCTGCGAAACCAACGAGGCGTAAATTTGTGGCTTCTCCGCCAAGCTCCAGAGCCACATCGCGAGTCCCCACGAGATACGCAATGCAACGGTCGAGCTCCTTCCAGTGCTCATCACTTCGAACAGTCTTGCCAGATGCGAGCTTGCTGCAGGCGAAAGCGAATGTCCGGACGTGTCGTGCAAGCGGCGAACTGCAGAGATCCCACTCTCTGGCGATACTCTTCCTCTGTTTGTCCCTGCAACTCTGCGCCGTCGAAAGTCAGCTCCTTGAACGCATCGACATAAATCGGCGTTTTCGGACTTCGTCTAGGAGGCCCCTCTAGTAGAAAACGCCTCTGCAACTTGTCGATGTAACCTCTCTGGTGCAGCCTGATCTTCCGAGCAACTCTGTTCCGGATCAATTCCAAGCCCAAGTACTTCTGTACATGACTTATCTCTCGAAGCTTGAACGCCTTTTCGAGCAGAGTCTTCAACTCTGCCAAATGCGCCTTGCTCCGACTTGCAGCCAGCAGATCGTCGACGTAGACGAGCAAGTAGCACTTGTCACCGTGCTCATCTTCGTGGAAGTAGAAGGCTTCGTCAACCTGACTCTTCGACCAGCCCCCGCTCTGCAAAACTCCATCAAGTTCTTCGTACCACAGCTTTGGACTCTGCTTAAGTCCGTAGAGACTCTTCTTGAGCAGACAGACTCTGCCGCTGCCGTCTTCATAGTACTTCGGCTGCTTCGTGTAGAGAGGACGGTCGATGGGACGATGGCTGCAAAGCCTCCACGGTAGAGATCTACTTCGTGCATTAAGAAAAGCGTTCGTCAAGTCGAGTTGCATCAGCTCCCAATCAAATGCCGCAGCTATGAGCAGCTGCAGAAGAGTAGTTACGTAGCTGCCGACTGGAGCATATGTCAAGTCGTAGTCGAGATTGGGTAGCTATGTAAACCGTTGAACGACGAGACGTCCCTTCTCTCATTCTACCGTATCGTCAAGGAGATACCTGGTAGCGAGAACCCACCGATTTCCCATCACATTGATACCAGACGGCGGAAAAACCAAGTCCCAAGTCCCTTGGTCCCACAGAGTCTGCATCTCCTTATCCATCGCTACCTTAACTGCAGGGCCTTTCCAACTCTTCAGAGAGACAGGGACAGGCATCTTCGAAATGTCCCAACGACGTTCCGGATCTGCCACACGATCTTCTGCAGAGTCCAGCTCCGGCAATGTTACGTCTTCGCTTCTGCCATCGAGGGCGTTCATCAAGAATGTCGTCAACGCTGCACGATAACGAAATGGTGGAACACCTTTGTTAGAGCGCGTCGATCGCCGGAGGGGTTGCACCTCCACATGCGTTTCGTCTGCAGAGTGCTTCTCGGCAGAGGACGATGGCTCCCCGGCAGAGGACGACTGCTCTTCTACGGTCGGGTCGTCTGCGACATTCTTCTGCCGCTCTGCCGTGCATCGTTCAATGGGGATGACGCCGAGAGGCTCCTCACTTCCCCTCTCACCAGAGGACGACGTAGAGGGAGAGGGAGAGCTGAGTCGTGCAGAGGGTGCATCAGGCTCTTCGACCGTCGGAGAGTCGGCAGAAGCATCCGCACGAGGATCGGCAGAGGACAGAGTACCTTCGACAGTAGAAGGCACGGTCGGCAGAAGAGTTGGTCCAAGAGTCAAAATCGGCACAGATGGCAGAATTTGAACAACCTTCTCATCCTCATCCTCCTTTGCCTCCTCATCCTCTTCTACAACCGGATCTGACCATGTTACCGCCTTGTCGAAGACAGAAGGGTCAACGACATCGGTAGGAGTCTGCCGTGTGGCCTTCCACCTGTCGAGCGACATCGTCTCGTAGAATATTGCTTCTACCGTGGTGACCAATCGATTGGTCACTAGATCGAGAACCAGCCATCCCTTGCTCTCCTGCGACACCCTTGACTGACTTGGCTCGGTCGCCCGATTTTCAGCACTACCACGAGGTACCAGTTCGGGTTTAAGACTACTCCGACGGTTCTGGCCGAACAAGGGTGGTGAGCCAACGGATCACCCTGTGCTGGTGGATCAAGGAAGAAATGTTTTTTGCGCTATAGGACAGGCGAACGATTTGTGAAAATCAAATGCTGTACAGTGGGAGGCGCGTGAAGCAGGTTAACGAAAATAGCGAAGGAGTTTTGCGACAGCGATCGGACAGTACGCGGAGCTCGAGTCCGGTACGAATGGCGAGGATTTGTCGCTAAAATCGACGGAGTTGCGAACTTTTTCAAAAAAACGTGCGCGGTACTGTTGGGAGAACGACGAACGTGGGCGCTGGGTGAACAGCGGCCTACGGGGGTTTTATTGTGGAAGCACTGCTGAAGAAATTTGCAGCAGTTTGGAGCAGATTGTTGCAGCGACGATTTCTTCAGGGAGGGGAAGGAGAATCCCTCACGATGATTTAGACTAATTAATTCGCCCAACTACCATAGCTTTTGCGCTTACCTGAGTTCTGGCACATTGAGGATTCACTCCTGATTTGGAGTGTATTCATCAAATGGAGCTTCGAGAAGACAAGGATTACTGTTGCATTGGGAGAAGCGTCTTGTCGTCACAGAAATTTTAGAGTCACGCGCGAGTCTTCAAGGATTATTCATGAGTTGGGGGGCTACAATCGAAGATTCGGCTACGAGAACTCATTAGCGGATTACCTGGACAGGCGCAATGATGGGTGACGTCGGCGTGTTGCTAAAACGTTGAGTATTTTCCATATGGGAATTCTTCAAGTTTTTGGCTGGAGCGGTAGCTGGGGTCAAGGGTACCTACCGAGCTGTGCGATGGTTTAAATACCAGCATGGTTAGTCGGTGAAATTGGAGAAAATGCGCTTCTAGTAGCTGAGAACTGTACCCAAGTTTTTCCAGGGTACCTGGCGTAGCCGCGCGATGGGTGAACATCTGCAAGGCGAGCCAGTTAGGTGGAGATGCGGAATTTTATACAGAGGGTAACAACACGAAGTAGATCAACGTCAGTTGAGAAGATGAATATTTATCTACGGCGTCGGACAGAGCCAGAGTCTACGTGGCGCAGCTGCCGGTGTTATAGGGTCGCGCTGAGACTAGTAAGGACGAACAGAGTTCGAAGATACTTCAGTTCTATGTCTCAAGAAACTTGAAGCAGGGTATTTTCGGCATCGACGAGAGAAGATTTTCTTTTCATAGAGGGGGGAGAGAGCAGCTGCACAGCAGTTGTTTTTTGGATTTTTCCTCAACAATTGGCATCCGCTGCAGGAGCATCGGCAGACAGATGCTGTTTAACGGATTGAAACGACGGACATATTCGAGTTGGCCTTTCGGGAATTTCGCTGGTGTTTGCGAAATTTGAAGGCGTGTTTACATTAACCGCCCTAGACGACATCGACTACGGTTACTGGAATGATTGTGCTTTCGTGCATTTGCCGAAGGACTTTGCTGTCTTTCGTGAGATACGGACGCGTGTTCTCGAATGTGTCGCGAATGACCTCGCATTTGACGAAATACCGACGCGTGTTTCTGCGAGTGTCACGACTCACGTGGAATAAAACGATGAGCTATCTACAGTTGTGGAACCATGGACAAGATTGGCGCATGCAGCAGATTCGGCTCGCCAACTTGCAGCAGCGTGAATAACGTAGTATTACTGTGCGGATACAATACACGACGTTGGGAGTTGTAATTCTCAGCGACGGACTTGCTGAAGACAAGGAAGCTGTGGTGCGGTAGTTTCCCTATTGCCCGTTTAGTTACCTGGGTAATTCGACCAAGCTTCGACGGCTACGATCGATTGCGATCGTTTCGACGTGTTTCGACCGTTGGATGGAGTTTCCTTGAAGAAGCTCGAGATTCTCAACAGTAGTGCCCTTACTGAGGCTTGCTATAGGGCGTACGACTCAAACATTCCCGAACCAGCGATAGGGTTCCAGACCTTTCAGTTCGAGCCTCCAGGGCCTTTCCGGACCTCGTTTCGACATATCGAGGCCCTTCGACACTTTTCCCGAAGCTTCCGATCCTACGTCCAGGATCGCCCTTGGTTTTCTATATATTGTTTGTCTTTCATTTTATTGTCATTCACTCGTTCACATTTTCGCCATTGCCCTTTGCGCTACTCGGCAGTTCCATTCGTAAGAGCGCTACTCGGCAGTTCCATTCATAACATTAACAAAAAGGCTGGCGCCTTGTAACTTGGGACCTGGGCTTTAAGGTTTCGTTCTTGTCGTTACGGCGAGAGGAACTCACAGGGTCGGAGTTCGTCAACAGAGTCCGCAATTCACTCATCGCCCAAGAGTTGCCCTGCTGGCATTCCACGCTGCCATAGAGCCAATGTCACCAGTTTTGACGACGAGTGCCCGGGACAAGCTGTTACCACCCTGAGGGTAACTCGATGGCGATATCGCGAGTGAACTGCACGCTTTGCAGTTCGATTTCGAAATTGTACCAATTTCGTCGTCGCCAAGGCGTTGCGCTGCAGTGCTGGTGTCGCCTGCGACTTCGCCTCACCTGCTTGGGAAGAACTTCGAAATCCTGCTTGAGAGGAGTCCTCGCCCTCTCCATTGCACTCAAGCATTTACTTGCGTTTGCTTTACACGCATGCTCTTGTGGCTTTGGTTTCTCTGGTTTCTCGTCGCCTGATTTCCAGCTCGCATACCGTCAGTAACGTTAATCCGCTATAACGCGTGAACAGCTTGTTTGGTAAAAGACGAGTCTATCAAACTATCGCCTTTCCAGCCAGTCGTCACGGCGCAGAATCGTCGGACGGAAAGAATCGAGGCTGGGCATTCGTTCCTTCGCGTGGAAGCGCGCTCGCCATGGGTCGCCCCATCGGCATGGGCGCAGACAGCGCGGGAAGCATGATATGGCTCGGCGCGCTGCTCGTGCTGACGTGTCTCGCCGCGGTTTCTCCCGTCCGCTGTGTACCCTTCGCCCCCTCCCAACGTACGCGGCGTTGCCTCACGAACTTTGCCGCCAGACGCCGCTCTCTGCTCGGCGTGTTCTGCCCATGTCCACAGAAACCAAACACCACTCCAGGCTTTAACCAGTCGAATCGACTTGTTTATGACCTGATTTCGCTCATGCCGCGCCATCATATGCTCGTTTTCTCATATTCTTGGTCTGGCATCTCTTGCAATAAATTATTTCTGTAGCCAGTCGGACCTTCCGAGCAAATCGGCTTGTTTTCACCTACCAAGCAAACCTGCGTACAGACAGAACGGATGTTCCCTTTCACCTACCATCTGAGGACTGAGTTGCTAACCCTCCTTTCTTCTAGTGTCTCTTCATTCGTCTTGCCCCCTTTGTCGCTCCCTTCTTCTTGCCTCTTCTCGCCCCTGCTTGTTGGATAAGAACCACCGATACCACTGAGCTAAAGCGGCGTTTGGTGGGCCAAATTCCCAGGCCTCACTGTCTGTAGCTCTTCCTCCCAGATCAAAGCGGCGACCCCAGTGCTCCTTACTACACGTGTCCCTGCTCCAAATGATTGTGGGTAACGTCTGTTGAGAATTCTCAAAGCACTCCCACGTGATGGGGGGGACTTCGAAGGAGTGGAAGGGCATCAGTCCATGCGAGCTGGCCGGCCCTTGCCCCCTTGTCTACCCAACCTCCTGCTCTTCCCTTCTTCCCCTCCCTCCTCCTCCTCCCTCTAGTCTTCCCCTTTCACCCCATCCTGTTCTTCCTTTCTGCCCCTATCCCCTTCTTCCTGCAGTGCAACTCCTGCTGGGCTCCGAGAACGCTCAGGGTCAGACTTTCTCTGGTCGGGTAGCTGGTGGGCGCTAGTAGGCTCATCTTTCCTTCTATGCCCCTCCTCCTGCTATTTCCTCCTGATCCACCCTCCTGCCCCTCCCCCCCCTCTCCCTGCCTCCAGTGCAAGTCCTGCTGGACTTCCAGCAGGCGTGGGGCCGGACTTTTGCTGGGTGGGTGACTGGAGGGAACTGCAGCACTGCCACGCAAGTGAAGTGTGACGCCCAGGGCATGTTGACCAGCATGTGAGTGCCCCCCCAAGGCATGGCCGTGTGAGTGCCCCAACCCAATAGGACCCTCGACCACTGCACTCAAAAGTTATGACCCCAATGTGTCCCAGATGTACCCCCGAGGTCACTTGCAGGTTCCGTTTGGGACATGCGCGTCAGGACACATACAGGATCTAGGGTGGGTCAGGTTTAGGTAAAAGAAAACAGGATACACTAGGGCTACTTGAGGGTGAGCTGTGGGGCAAGAATAGGCCATGAGAAGGACTATCGCGGGCCATCTACAAGTTAGTTGAGGGACATCTATGGGACAAAAACACCACAGTATATCCTCTATATACCCGGTTCCTTTCTACGGCGATTCATAAGCGTAGTGTACCGTACATAATGCACAATAACAATAAAGCATACAAGTGGTTTCGTAGAGATGACATGCACTGCCATTACAATGGCAGAGTGCCATGCGTGGGGGTTAAACAACACTCTAAATTCAAACGCAACTTCGAAATGAATAACTCCAATGGCCATATTGCTGCGACGAGCATTAGATTCCACTCCATTGTTAACAGAAAAAATAATTACTACTGGTAAAGAAGGTGTTCACTGCTGGTGCATGCTATTTCAAAATAAAATCCAGAGCAATCAGAAGTTAGCCGCACGAGTTGGACATGCAAACCGTGGTTCTGGTAAGATACCGCCTACAAGAAAACAAAAGGAAACCAACACATGCACACAGCACAACAGTGCACACATATACACAATAAGATCGTTGCATTGCGCCAGGAATTCTGCAGGGGAAAAGGTTAGGTTTAAGACTGTTAGAAATCACGATAATGCGAACAATACTAGATGTGATCAGAAGTCAGCCATACGAGTTGGCTTGCAAACCGTGGTATGTTGAATATACCGCCTGCAAGAAAACAAAAGGAAGCCAACACACGCACTAAGCACCACACTGCACACATATACACAATTCCTTCGTTGCATTGCGTTAGGAATTCTGCAGAGAAAACAATTGAGTTAAAAATTGTTAGAAACCGTGATAAAGAGAACAATATTAGAAGGGAAAGATGGAAAGAAGACGAAAAAACGCGGCTGATCAATGTTACCAGAGGAGCAAAAATTACCATCAATGATGCACTTACAGAGCATGACGACAACCCATGCAGGTGCGCACAATCCTTCAGAGTATGACAACGGCGTGTGGCGCGAATTGACGACTCTTGACCGTAGCAACAAGGATTTGTTGAACATCGCAGACCTGCGTGAGAGACGGAACAATCCACACGTAAATGCTAGTTAGCATCTACAATAACAATAATCATGCGTGTTTAACATATGGGGGGGGGGGGGGAGGGGGAATGGCTGATGTGGTCCAGTTTTAGTGGGTGTAAAATGTGACAGGCGGAGAATCGAGCGTGAAGTGGCCGAATTGCGGGCTCGGCGCGCAGCTGGGCTGGACATTGGTTGTGTTTGGCATAACCTGCCAGTAACTACACCAACTCGCCCAAATCATGAAATGTATAACGGACGTTTGAAAAACGGTTAGGAAATCATTTACCTACACATAGTGTTTTGTTATTCATAAACATGGCATTTTTTTTCAAATGCATGATGATTCAAGTAGATAAATTGCAACAGAAAACATCAGTACCGCTTACAAATTAAAAAATAAAAATAAAATAAAAATCAAATACCACTTTGCTCTCAGTACTTGTAGTAATCATCATGAAAACGTTTTTTCGAGAAGTATGCTTGTCCTGTAATGTAACATCGACCTGCCCTTCAATTTGCTACGGGAAAATTGTCGTTGGATTATATGATGACAGCGGGATTTGAACCTGCGTCTTCATACCACAATGTACTGCATTAAGTCTTGCTAGTCTCGAATTTGAATATCACAATGCAATGTTGGCGAGAATTGAACCCGCGTCTTCTACTCTGTGCTCTGTGCAAAGTATCTTTTGGGAGAGGCCTAATTCTAGGTCAGCAGGGCAGACAGTTTCGGGACATTTTCGTTCGAAAATGTTCCTCAACTAGCCCGTAGGTATCTTCTCGGCCAATCTGGGGACATCGCTACGGAGGGGTCAGGTTTGGGACAGTCCCTTTTTGGTGATGCATGCACTCCCTTCAAGGTTCTCTCTCTCTCTCTCTCTCTCTCTCTCTCTCTCTCTCTCTCTCTCTCTCTCTCTCTCTCTCTCTCTCTCTCTCTCTCTCTCTCTCTCTCTCTCTCTATATCTCTCTTGATCTCCGCTTCTCTTATTGGTTATCCCCATCTTCTCACGTGATCCATTTCACACTCTTCCAGGGATCTTCATAACCAAGGCTTATCCGGATCCATCCCATCTACTATCAGCAGCATGGTCAGCCTGACATACCTGTGAGTAACAGCTAATCTGGTGTGATTATCACAATGCGCACATCCGTGTCTCTTAATTTGTCTTCTAATGCATCCATAAGCTGTAGAAAGTTTTGCCTCTTGTGGAAAGTACTTGTCTGCTCTCTCCTTGTCTTCTTGCTCCTGCGTGCATGTGTGCGTGCGTGCGTGCAAGTGTGTGTGTGTATGTGTTTGTGCGCACGTGACTGTGTGTGTTTGTGGGTGCGTGTGTGCATGCATGTGTGAGCGTGTGTGTGTTTGGGCGCGTGGACGTACATGCGTGTTTGTGTGTGCACTGCAGTTCTTTTGAGCTAAATAATCTCACCGGCCACCTCCCTCCAACGATGGGCAGCCTTACTCGTCTTTCATACCTGTACGCCAATCCAATAACACTGATATATCTATCATTCACACCCCTGGCACACTAGTCTCGTCTAAGCGCAACCCTGCAATGGAGAGATCGCCCTGCAGAGGGATTCCTACAAGGACGAAACCCCAATGCTCTTGTATTGAATGTTGTGAAACACCTACTATGCACCTGCAGGAACATATCTGACACAAAGATAATGTGCCCACCGGACTACAGCACCTGTGTGGTCCCTCAGAATGCTTCAAGCGCTTTCTGCTCCATGTGCACCTCCTTTTGCGCCACCTGTGCGGAGGCACCAGCCACTGCTCCACCCTCCTCTGCTCCACCCTCCTCATCCCCCCAAAGTGAGTCACCTCTCTAGGTGACCTCTGTCCCTTTGATACCCCCCTTTAGCTGTTTCCCGCAAGCTGTGCTCATTCATCTATCTCTACTTGATGTATGGCCCTCCCACTATCATCCTGCCATAATTTCAGTGCCCCACGCCCATGCTCCAGATGTTCCTCCTCCCCTCCTGCTGGATTGGGAAGGGAAGGCCGTGCATAACTGATGAGAGCTGATCACCTCATCTCCACTTCACTGCCCCTCCTCCTGTTCCTCCCCATTCCTCCTGCTCCTCCTGCCTTCCCCTTCCATCTATCTCCCGCCCCTCTTCCCCTTCCCTCTGCCTCCAGTGAAACTCCTGCTGGACTTCCAGCAGGCGTGGGGGCGGACATTCGTTGGGTGGGTAGCTGGGGGGAACTGCAGCACTGCAGAGTATGTGGAGTGCGACGCCCAGGGCATGGTCACCAGCATGTGAGTGCACCGGCCTTCGCTTGCCATGTGCGTGCACAACCTTGCTTGGATGCGAGTGAACCTGTCCAATGCGACTCTTGACCTTGCAGTGCACTTCCTTCCAGAATCCATCTCTTTCTCCTCTTCCTTCTACCGTTATCCCCGCTGTCCCATGTAACCAACTCCACACCCCTCCAGATTTCTAGAGTTCCAAGGCTTAACCGGATCCATCCCATCTAGTATCAGCAGTATGGTCAGCCTAACTCACCTGTGAGTAACAGCTAATTCGGTATGGGTATGGCCACGGATGTATGGGTTGAGTCAAAATCCGGCTCTTTTATTTGGACTCTAATGCATGTGTTAGAAGAAGAAATTAAATGCACCTACAGCACAAGTTTATTCGCCACTTGTCTCCTTGTGTCATTGTGTCCTTATCTCTCTGAATGCCTCCCTGCTTGACTCCATAGTAAGAAGTTCAGCTGGCTATATTGGTAAGGTGAAAAGGCACAGGGCATTTGATTACATAGAATTGCAGGTTGACTTCCCTAAGGGTGGCCAAATTGCGAAGGATTGGAGAATTTGGGGGATCGCATCTGGTTGAGGTTGGAATCTGTGTAACATTAAATCCACAAAGATTGATGCAGCGGCATATCCCTTACATCATTTTCCCTGTCACCCCTTGAGTCCCTGTGACTTTTTGTCCTTTTGCCATTTCTCCTTATCTTGTACCGTCATTCATTTTCCCTGGACGCTTACGGGTTCGTTGTAATGCATATACGTTTGACACTGTGGTTCAATGACCTTTGAGCATCCGCTCGACTTTCATTTTACACCCATTAGTCTTTCATCTTTTGTTTTCCATTGGATCATCTCCAGAGATCTCTACGGGAACGACCTCAGTGGCTCGATACCCTCAGGCATTGCCAATCTCCTTGATCTGTGCTATCTGTGAGGATTTCAAGTTTCGTGAGAAGAGTGCCTCATCCTAACCACACTGCATATGCCCTGTTGGTGTGGCTAGTGTGACCGCTTTGTTGGTATTATGTCGTGTTTCCATTTCCTGATACTAAGTGTTGACGCCCCAGAATGCATAGATTATAGTGATCATTATAAGGTGGCTTTTTGTGCACTTGAATGCACCGAATGGGATGTGTTTCTTGTGGCCAAAAAAAAGAGTCACTAAGTCTCTTGGAACTCTTTGCGTGCACCATCAGGAGTCTGGGCAATAATGCATTGACTGGGTCTTTTCCATCTTCCATCGCCAGCATGAGCGGCCTCACTTACCTGTCAGTACCATGGCATGCCAACACAGCCGAACTTCAAATGCTTGGCTTGAATGAAACTGCTGCGTGCATTTTCTGGGGCAAGTGGTTATTACTCACTGGGTAGCGACTGACGTATGCTTTTGTGCATGTCCTTGTCATCTTAACTGAAGGGGCAGCTATGTCACAACGTCATATCCCTTTTCATCTCCCCTCTCCATTCACTCCTACCCCTTCTTCTGCGCTCTGATCAACTAACCCATGCAACCCTCTGCATGCACCATCAGGGATCTGCGTCGTAATGCCTTGACAGGGTCTATTCCATCTACCATCGCCAACATGAGCAACCTCGAGTACTTGTCAGTACCATCGTGGGAATAGAATCAAAACATCCATGCTTGGCTTGATAAATAGTGCTTCATGTTTCTGCGCGTTCCTCTGCCAACAACATTGGAGAAGCAACTATGTCACTCTGTCATCCTTTCCTCGCCCTTCTCAGCTCTAATAAATTAACCCACAAAATCATACACATGCACCATCAGGAATCTGGGCAATAATGCCTTGACTGGGTTCATTCCATCAACCATCTGCAGCATCACCAGCCTCACGTTTCTGTCAGTGTCATGGGGAACACATCTGAACTTGCATGTTTGGCTTAAATGGGACTGCAGAGTGCTTTTCACCCAAAAAAAAAAAAAAAAAAAAAAAAAAAAACGTTTCGTCCCACTGGGTGGAGGGCTGACGCATGTTTTCTGTGCGTTCATCTGGCAGCTTCACAGGAAATGCCACAATTTCATGCCCTTTTCGTCTCCCTTCCTCATTCACTCTTCCCTCCCCCCCCCGTCTCCGCTTTCTCTGATTCCATGGTTAACCCCATGGAATCGTCTGAATGCACCGCCAGATATCTGGGTTACAATGCCTTGACCGGCCCAATTCCATCTACCATCAGCAACATGACCAACCTTACGTTTCTGTCAGTGCTGATTGACCAGCCGCATGGAAACACAATGTCTGGCTTGAATGACAGTGCTGCATGATTTTTACTCATGTTTGTTTCTCACTGAGTAGAGAGCTAAAGCATGCTTTCAGTGCTGTCCCCTGTCATGCCCCATCCATCTCCTCATTTAATTCACTCCTCCGCTTCAATAAACTAGTTAGTTCCATTTCATAATTGAAGCAGTAAGTGACCTTTCACCCTTTTCTGGGTCTCTGTCATCAGTGTGTTCCTTTGACAGCTTGAGTGGAGAGGCAACTTACAAGAAATGCATGGCGATCAGATGCCCTTTCACATCTTTTGTGTGGGGGGGCGGGTACGCGCGTGCGCGCGTGGTGTGGGTGCGTGAGTGCATGCGTGCGTGCATGCCGTGCACACGTGCGTGCGCGCGCGCGCGTGTGTGTGTGTGTGTGTGTGTGTGTGTGTGTGTGTGTGTGTGTGTGTGTGTGTGTGTGTGTCACGTGAGTGCATGTGTGCGTGTGTGTATGTGTACTGCAGCTCTTTGGAACTAAACAATCTCACCGGCCACCTCCCTGCAACGATGGGCAGCCTTACTCGTCTTTCGGACCTGTATGTCAATCCAATATCACCAAAATATCATCCACACCTCTGGCACACTAGTATCAAGGCATCCCCGGAATGCAGAGATCGTTGTGCAGAGCGATTCCTACAACAATGAAGTCCCAATACTCTTGTGTGAAACGTTTGTGAAGTATCCATTGTGTACTTGCAGGTATATATCTGACACGGATATCACATGCCCACCGAAATACAGCACCTGTGTGGTCCCACAGAATACTTCAAGCGCTTTCTGCCTGATGTGCACCTTCTTTTGCTCCACGTGTAGTGCAGCACCGCCCATTGCTCCACCCTCCTTTGCTCCACCCTCTTCTGCTCCACCCTCCTCATCCCCTGAAAGTGAGTCACCAATTCCTCCCACGCTATCCCCTCTAGGCGACCTCTGCTCTTTGATAACCCCCTTGTTCTCTTTTGTACTTACTTTTCTGCATGCACTAACCCCTTTGGGTGACCTCTGTCCCTCATATGGTCTCCTTGAGTTTTATTCCCACGAGCTGTGCCCACTCATCTATCTCTAGGAACTTGTATGGCTCTCCCACCATCATACTGCCAGAACTTTTAGTGCCCCACACCCATGCTCCAGGTTTTCCTCCTCCCCTCCTGCTGGAGTGGGAAGGGAAGGCCCACATAACTTATGAGAGCTGGTCGCCTCATCTCCCATTCAGTGTCCACCTCCTGATCCTCCCCCCTCCTCCCTTCAGTGTAGAAGCTCCCCCATATTCTTCCTTCTCCTCCCACCTTCCCCTTACATCTCCTTCCTGCCTGGATGCCTCATCATGTTTTGCACCAACCATCTGCAGCACAGTTACTCAACCCCCAACATATGTTGCCAATCTGAAGCTTTACTTTCCTTCACCCACCCGTATCATCCCGTACCATATCCAACACTCCCCCCCCCCTCTTTTCCATCTGAAGCAACCCTATCCCCTATCCCCCTCCCCCTCTCCAGCCCCGCCTTCCATCTCCACTCCCACACCGCCTTCACCCACCACACCCTCTCCACCTCCTCCCACTTCCAATCCTAGTCAACCCACAGCCTCTCCCTCCCAGTCTGGAGGCGGCCTGTCAGCAGGCACCATAGCTGGCATTGCTGCTGCTGCTGGTGTCGCTGTCCTCCTGCTGCTGCTCCTGCTGGGTCTGATGGTATTCAAGCGGTGCCACATCCAAGGGGTGGAAGCAAGTGGCAAAAGCGGCACAGATGCATAGGACGAGGATTTGGCCCTTGGAAGTTCACCCCAAGGCAAGACGATTCTGAAGCAATGTCCAATGCTCAAACTTTACTCACCCTCCTCCTATCCCTTCTCGTCCTCTCTTTTCTTTCCTCTTTCCCCCAAAACTCCCCCATCCTCGGTGCCCTATTTATTCCACTTCCCTTCACATCCAATGCTCTCCTTTTCCACTCCAGAACTCCCACAACACTATTCCAGCTTTACTACCCTCCAAATACTCAAGACATGTTACTGGAAACAGCATAGCATGCAGAGTAAAACGACCCAGAATCAGCAGCAGAAGCGGCAGCTGTGGCAGCAGGAGCAGCAGGAGCACGAGGGAAGGATAAGGGTCACGTACACCAACCCCCCCACCTCAAGATTTGCATCGCTGTTCGATGATGTTCCTGCATATGATGTGTTGCTGCATATGATGTGTTACTGCATATGATGTGTTGCTGCATATGATGTGTTGCTGCATATGATGTGTTGCTGCATATGATGTGTTGCTGCATATGATGTGTTGCTACATATGATGTGTCGCTGCATATGATGTGTTGCTGCATATGATGTGTCGCTGCATATGATGTGTCGCTGCATATGATGTGTCGCTGCATATGATGTGTCGCTGCATATGATGTGTCGCTGCATATGATGTGTCGCTGCATGTGATGTGATGCTGCATATGAAGTGTTGCTGCATATGATGTGTCGCTGCATATGGTGTGTTGCTGCATATGATGTGTTGCTGCATATGATGAGAAACCTTTCCATCAGGCATCAATGGGCACAAGGATGTGGAACCCCTCTCTTCCTCTCACCTCTTCCGTGCCCATTGGCAATCTCAATCCCCTATCTTCCTACCTCCCACTAATACCCACTGCAGAGGAGCCTGTGGGAAGTGGAGCTGAGGTGTCAGCGGAAGCTTGAAGATAGAAAAAAGGAAATTCTCAAAGGGGGATGGCCACCGGACGGGATAGTGCTGGGGAGGAAAGGTGTAAAAGTATTCTTTCCAGGACAGCAGCCCACCCACGCGCTAATGGCAGGGATCCCGCCAAAGGAGACGGTGCCGAGTGAGGACCAGAGTGGGAGATAGGAGACGGTCAGAAAGGAGAAGTGGGCCCCGCAAAGCCTTTGCAGGCCATGCCCAGTGCTGATACAATTCAGGGTTTCGGGTGTAGGAGTGATCAAGCAAACTTGCCAACAGCCATCAGTGATCATTACAAAACATCCTCCGATGCTACCTGCATGCAGATTCATGCCTATGTCTGCATGTTCATGTGCGCGTGCGTGTGGGTGTGTGGGTTGGGGAGGGGAGATGGTGGGGGAGGGGGGGTGGGGGGAGAGGGTGGGCATGGGGCCGGTTGTTAGCATTGTAGGGATGTTCGCCAAAACAAACTCACAGGACACCTCCCTCCAACAATGGGCACTCTCACCCTTCATTTGCACTTGTACTTTAATCCAATATCACTTCTAGATCATTTGCAATTCTGGCACACTAGTCCCATCCAAGGGCAACCTTCGAATGCGGATATTGTTTAGCCGCTGCTAAACCATATTAAATCCATATCCACCTCTTTGAACAGTTTCACAAATTCTATTTGTGTACGTGCAGGAACATATCTGGAACAGCACTCACATGCCCACCGGACTACAGCACCTGCATAGTCCCATAGGACAATTCAACCACCTCCCAAAAGGCGTGCCCTGACTTCTGCAACACATGTGCCATGGCACCTCCCTCTATGCCACCACCACCATCTACTCCACCATCTGAACTACCCTCGTCCCCCCGAAGTGAGTCAGCACATCTCCCACGTTAACTCCCTCGGCATGGCCTCCCTTTGTTGGATATCTCCCTTATGTTCTTTCCCATGAGCTGAGCTTGGAATTCAATCTGCTGCTATGACTATGAGCTCAACGTGTCCCTCTAACACTCATCCACTGCCCCATATGGTGATGGGGAAGGGGGGGGGGAGGGGGGGAGGGAGGAGAACGTGCTTTGAGAATTCTAAAAACATGCCTGCATGCTGGTGGAGAACTGAGTAGGAGGGGAGGGGCATAAGTTGATGCAAGAGCCAGCTCATCTCCACTTGCCTCTCTACTCAACTCTCTGATCTTCCCTGCTTCCCCTACCTCCTTCTCTCCCTCTCACCCCACCCTAATTCACCTTCCTACCTCTCTCCACCCAGCAGCGTGGGGCGGATTTTCACGGGATGGGTGGCTGGAGGGAACTGCAGCACCTTCGACCATGTAAGTGCGACGCCCAGGGCATGGTCACTAGCATGTGAGTTAAGCAACCCTAGATTGGCATGTGGGTGCACGCTCTTCTTGAATCCCTCTCTTTCTTCTCGCATCTCCTATGGCATCCCCTTGTCTCACGTAACCAACTCCTCACGCTTCCAGGAGTCAATGGGAATCTTGAAGGGGAAATGGAGCAGTTTCTGTTGTACACAGAGCCACTGTAATAAGGATGGATCAGGTGGGGTCCTTCACAAGTGGCAAAGAGTATAACAACAATACTTCTCGTATGACTGTCAGAGCTGTGTGGCAGCATAAGTCAATCTTTGATGTGCTTTCTTGGTTGCTTGGATGTGTAGATTTCGAGTGGTGATGCTGATGGTCATTATGGCACGTAAGGCAATTCATGCAAGGGGACACCCAGATCAACTTCAACAGCAACATGAGGCTTATTTTGTTGACACTTTTTACTAGAAACCTTGAACCTGTAGCACTTCCGACTTTGATTCTACCCCTCCTCCAAAACCGGTGTGGGCGTGGTATCACTCCTTTGCTGGAAACAAAGTACAACGACCTGCACACGTGTTTTTGTTCTTAGCGCTGAGATTTTGGGCAAATGCGATTTGATACCTGTTGCACAATAGCCAAGTTCAATTAGGACTGAGCTTAGCTGGTCTGTTTCCTTATACCAGACTATCAACAACCTGCAAGGCAAAAGAATGACGATGTAAACACACAACACTTGCCTCACCAAGTATTTAAACTGTACACTTCCTTCTCCTATTGCTTCACAACTTGTTTCTCCTCTTCCAAGCACATGTTGATTGTACCCAACCATCTTTCCCAAGTATTCTGTTAACTATAGTGTTATTTTCCTACCATCCATACTACCATAACCATATTCTGTCATTGTGGTAGTACCGAAAGATGCTCCAAAAAGGGTACTTGAGCCTCTAACAAAAAAAACTCTTCGCACCTCTTGTTTTTCAACCCTACAGGTTGCATCCAACACAGTGGCATCATTCAAGGACCCTTACTCGCACGCACCAGGAAATCTCGTGTTTCGCTTGGCTCGCCTTGCCTTCTCCTGCGCTGCCATGCCCGGTGCCTCCCTCCCTGCCATGAGCCAATTGCTGGTAGATATGGTGAAGATGAGGGAGGCGGTCTTTGGATCACAGGCCAACAAGGTTGCATCTCGCATTGATGACGAATCATAATCAGATTGCGCGAACTTAGATGCTGAGAAAATATGTGTATTGGGACTACTAAAAAGTAAGAATATACAGAAATACGATATTTATATGTGTATCTGTAATAAACTACTCAGACAAAATTCCAGCAGTTAAAATCCGCTGCCCAAATTGCGAGGCACGGCCTTCAAACGCAATGCGTTTGAAAGAGGTATTTTGGAACACAAAGTGCTGAGCGTTTTTCAACCGTCCATTTTTTGCAGATTTCCATTCGACGGCGTGCAAGCCAAACACTTGTCCCAGTCAGTCAAAAAGTAATCTCATGTGTCAAACTGTGTGTTTGCAAATATGACGGTCCACGACAAGTGTCCAATTTTCGAGAATAACCACCCTCGCGATTTTCCAGCGTATTTCGTAGAACCCCAGGGCCAAAGTTCATACGGAGAGCGTTTCAACAATTTGGGCTGCGGGTTTTAAGATAGTAAAATGACCATTCGTAGCTGTACAGAGGTCTTTATGCTTTGTTTGCTTTCATTATGGCGAGAGGATCCCATAGAGTCGGTGTTTGTCAACACAGTCTGCAATTTTTCCGGATAGTCTGCTTTGTCTCCCGCTTCAGGTACAAAACCTGGTCCTACTCTTTCTGAAAGGTTGGTAGCGACGTTGTTGCGTGTTACATAACCCATGTCGGCGAAGTGGTAGCACGCTTCGGCGTTCGCGCTTTCGCAAGGATTTTTCCATCTATCTGCATGTTGACGGAGCAGCAAGGAAGTGGTCCTGCAGCTGCTGTTGCGTCCGGGACGTTTTGCTCCTCCAAGCTAGCTTCTTCTTCGGTCAAGGTGAACGCGCGTACGCTAGCGAAACCACTGGATGGGTCTTGATTGGTGGTGATGTTCTCCAGGTAATGGTTGAGGTTGAGGTTCTTGTAGCAAATCACATCACGTACGGGTACTTTTTCCTTATCTTCCCGGTAAAAAAAATCCAAGCCTTGTAGTGTTTTTCCACACTGAGCTGTAGACCCCATCTTGCTCGCTGTGAGAATCGTACAGTTTGTGTAGTGTGGGGAAGGTACTGTACCATGCAGCCGAACACCCGTAACAATTTTGTGCTGCCCTGCCTCCCTGTCCACAGCAGTTGTGGTGATGCATTGTTTGGCAGGGAGCTTGACGACAGAAGATTATGCAACATGACGGCATGATTCATCGCCTCCAGCCACTGCGAGTTGGGCAGACGCATCCCAGTCAGTAGCTTCCTCATAGTGTTTTGTAGACATCTGTTCATCCACTCTGCTACACCATTATGTTGGTGAGGATAGGAGAGGGTGACGAGCCTCTTGGTTCCTCTCTCAGCGAGGTAGTCCTTGAATCGCTATGACTGATACTCCATAACCCCGTGTGATTGAAAGCTTTTCAGCTTCATGTCTCCCTCCTGTTCTGCGGCAGGAAGCCATGCAACGAAGGCAGAGAAGGCAAGGTTGCCTGACGGTAGGTTAAGATGCCGGGTATACCATGTCGCGACATCGACGAAGGTGATAACGTTGTTGAGGTCAGCACGGCCGACTTCTCGCTGGATATACAGTATGTCGCTGTAAACGTTTTTGAGTGGAGCGTACTCTGGTGCGCTCCGGTTGTGATGCGACGGGAACGGTTGACAAAGAAGATCTGCTTCTGGACACATAAAGTAGGTGCGTCGAGGTCGTCAAAGTTCACGGCCATCGAGAAGGAGATGAGCATCCTTATCTAGAACGTTTGCACGAATCATGTCAAATAGTCTTGAATTTTTGGGATGTCCTAACCGTTGATGCCAAATCTCTTCGCTTGCCTTGTGTCTTACAGATCGTCGGTATAGGTCCGAGTTGGCGTAGAAGGCGGAGACGGTCACGGTGCTTCGGTACTGCTCGCGAGGATGCGCCTTCAGTTGCTTAGCATCGCTCGATGGTGGCTCGTCAACGGGTTCCGTTTCAGGCGGAGCTTCTTCGACGGGTGGCGCCGACGAAGACCCAGCGATGGGACTTTCAGGAAGTGGTATTTTCGGCACTTGTGGTTCTGCTGCGCGCTCAGTATCGTGTGCTTCTGCTTCCCGCATCACCGCTAATGTTCGTATGCTTTATGCTTCAAGGATGGTGTTGGAGTACTAGAAACCATCGCGGTCGAACCCGGGGTCAAGATCCGGCGGGCACAAAGGAAACGACGCTATCGCTGTCGGTAGTCCCATGGTTTGGAACTAAGTCCAAGACAAAGACCCCCTGTTTCTGGATGGCTCTGCTGATGAAGAGACCGCCCTTTTCGTAATAGAGACGTAACTCTTAATCAAAGCTATCACACTCCAGGTGATTACCCTTCGACATTAGCTGGCTGACGCTTAGTAGGTTGTAGCCGAGATTGTCGACGACGAGTACTCGTGACATCTAGAGTATTACGTTAGTCTCGCTGGATTGTAACTGAACGATGCCTTCCTTTCGTGTTCCCAGGTTTTGGTTATTGGCGACAGTGATGACAACTTCTCAGCTCAGAGTCTTCTCTCGCTAGATGAAGCGTGTTGAATAACACATGTTTTCCACAGCAGCTGTCAAGAAACAATGTGTCGCGGCCGGATGGTTCCTCGCGAGCGATTGCTTTCGTAAGTCGGGTTTGGTTGGAGTCGGTTCTGTGTCGGAGCTGGGAGTTGTTCGTCGAGATCACTGTGAGGTGGGGAATTGGGTACACAGAAGTCTCGTTGTGCCATGCAACTGACGACATTGCGTGGGTCTTGTGCAGAGCGATTTGCCAGAGCTGGTGGGCGATGCTGAGTTGATGCGACCAGACTCAGTGACGAACGTGGCACTCGAGGTTGGTACTGCGGGTACTGCAGCTGCTGTTGCTCTTGCTGCCTTGGGCAGTTAAAGCGCGAGTGTCTTGTTGTGCAGCATTGATGACAATACCAACGTGAGTGTCGTTTCTGATGATGGTTGTTATGGTTGCGCCCGTGCTTGTAGAGCGCGACTTGCTGTACGAGCCTGGCGAGGGCTGGTAAGGTTTGTGCTGTGTGGGCTGTATGCCTTGGGTACGATGCGTCGTCGAGGCTCATTGGGACTAGCCCACTATTGTTGTTGCTGTGTGCCGATTGAGCAGGTGCCGGAGGCTGCTCGTAGGTCGACATGAAGGAGAAGAAATTTTCCATTACATTCGGGTCCATGCCCATGGAAGAGGCCATTGGTTGTGTGGAGGCTCTTGCAGCTGCGAGTGCCTCAGTCTGTAGTCCAGAGATTGGGGGAACAGAGGGGGATCCAGTAGAGAATCTATTGCCTTTAGATGGCGCCATGTCTTGTAATATTGAATTGATAAACTGAAGTTGTTGCAAGTGATTCTTCAAACGAGTTAAAAACCCACTGAAGGGGTTTGTAACAGGAGTGTAGCTTGTGATTAGCTCTCATACCATGCTGGGCTGAGAAATAGCCCTAGGATCTTTTCAGAAGGCTAAGTCCTTGTAACATAGTGGTTGATGGCACAGCGGAAGTCTTGAGTTTGAACCCTTGTACTAGTATATGAGAACAAGTAATTGATTACAGCAAAGGGATACAAGGTTTATATAATAATACAAGAGAATATGAAAGGTCAAACTGTTTGTGCACTTCAAGGGGTACATTCCCTTTTGGGAATCGATCAGGCGACTCAGGTAACCAACCATACTGTAATAGCGGGATGGTAATTTGTCCTTGCTGTCGCGCTGACTCTTGACTCTTCCGATTTTGACTGTTGGGTTGCACGGTCAACGGTCAGCGAGCGTTGCCCTTTCGTAACCTCTGCCGGGTGTCGTCAACCTGTGTCAACCGTGGGTAGTGCTGTAGCTGTGTCGACTCGGTGATTCTCATTCTTGCACTCTTGGCATATTCATACACTCACGTGAGATTCCGAAAATGTCGTAAGTTCTTTTATTATTTCCAACACGCAAATCAGACACACTAGTCCCATCCAAGGGCAACCTCAGAATACAGATATTGTTTAGCAACAAGATTCACTAAGAGGATCAAATTCATATCCACCGCTTTGAATAGTTTCACGAATTCTTTTTGTGTACATGCAAGAACATATCTGGAGCAACACTGACATGCCTACCGGACTACAGCACCTGTATAGTCCCACGGGACAATTCAACCGCCTCCCAAAGGGTCGTGCTCTGACTTCTGCAAAACATGTAACATGGCACCTCCCTCTATGCCACCACCACCATCTACTCCACCATCTGAACTACCCTCGTCCCCCCGAAGTGAGTCAGCACATCTCCCACGTTAACTCCCTCAGCGTGGCCTCCCTTTGTTGGATATCTCCCTTATGTTCTTTCCCATGAGCCGAGCTTGGAATTCAATCTGTTGCTATGACTATGAGCTCAACGTGTCCCTCTAACACTCATCCACTGCCCCATATGGTGATGGGGAAGGGGGGGGGAGGGGGGGAGGGAGGAGAACGTGCTTTGAGAATTCTAAAAACACGCCTGCATGCAGGTGGAGAGCTGAGTAGGAGGGGAGAGGCATAAGTTGATGCAAGAGCCAGCTCATCTCCACTTACCTCTCTACTCAACTCTCTGATCTTCCCTGCTTCCCCTACCTCCTTCTCTCCCTCTCACCCCACCCTCATTCACCTTCCTGCCTCTCTCCACCTTGCAGCATGGGGCGGATTTTTGCTGTGTGGGTGGCTGGACCTTCGACCATGTAAGTGCAACGCCCAGGGCATCGTCACTAGCATGTGAGTTAAGCAACCCTCGATTGGCATGTGGGTGCACGCTCTTCTTGAATCCCTCTCTTTCTTCTCTCATCTCCTATGGCATCCCCTTGTCTCACATAACCAACTCCTCACGCTTCCAGGAGTCAATGGGAATCTTGAAGGGGAAATGGAGCAGTTTCTGTTGTACACAGAGCCACTGTAATAAGGATGGATCAGGTGGGGTCCTTCACAAGTGGCAAAGAGTATAACAACAATACTTCTCGTATGACTGTGTGAGTTTTGTGGCAGCATAAGTTAATCTTTGATATGCTTTCTTGGTTTCTTGGATGTGTAGGCTTCGAGTGGTGCTGCTAGTGGTCATTATGGCACATACGGCGATTCATAAGGGGACACCTAGATCAACTTCAACAACAACATGAGGGTTATTTTGTTGACACCTTTTTAATTCGACTTGTTCCTGTAGCACTTCCGACTTTGACTCTACCCCTCCTCCAAAATTGGTGCGGGCGTGGTATCGCTCCTTCGCTGGAAACAGAAGTACAACGACCTGCACACCTATTTTGGTTCTTAGCGCTGAGATTTTGGGCAAATGCGATTTAATACCAGTTGCACAATAGCCAAGTTCAATTAGGACTGAGCTTAGCTGGTCTGTTTCCTTATACCAGACTATCAACAACCTGCAAGGCAAAAGAATGACGATGTAAACAAACAACACTTGCCTCACCAAGTATTTAAACTGTACACTTCCTTCTCCTATTGCTTCACAACTTGTTTCTCCTCTTCCAAGCACTTGTTGATCGTACCCAACCATCTTTCCCAAGTATTCTGTTAACTATAGTGTTTTTTTCTTATTATCCATACTACCATAACCATATTCTGTCATTATGGTAGTACCGAAAGATGCTCCAAAAAGGGTACTTGAGCCTCTTAACAAAAAACTCTTCGCACCTCTTGTTTTTCAACCCTACAGGTTGCATCCAACATAGTGGCATCATTCAAGGACCCTTACTTGCACGCACCGCGCAATCTCTTGCTTCGCTTGGCTCGCCTTGCCCTCTACTGCGCTACCATGTCCAGTGCCTCCCTCCCTGCCATAACCCAACTGCTGGTAGATTTGGTGGAGATGAGGGAGGAGGTTTTTGGATTAGAGGCCAACAAGGTTGCATTTTGCATTGACGAAAATTCATTCTCGAATCACACGAACTTAGAAGCTGAGAAAATATGCGTATTGGGACTACGAAAAAGCCAGAATATAAAGAAATACGATATTCGTATGTGTTTGTAATATGCTATTGCTTAGACAAAATTCCAGCAGTTAAAACTCACGGCCCAAATTGCGAGGCACAGCCTTCAGACGTAGTGCATTTAAAAAGGGTATTTTGGAACACGAAGTGTTGAGCGTTTTTCAACCGTCCATTTTTTGCAGATTTACACGTGACCCTATGCAAGTTAAACCCTTGCCCCAGTCAGTCGAAAAGTAATCTCATCATTCAAACTGTGTGTTTGCAAATCTGAAGTTCCACGACAAGCGCCCAATTTGCGAGAATAACCACCCTCGCGATTTTCCAGCATATTTCGTACAACCCCAGGGCCAAAGTTCATACGGAGTGCGTTTGAACAATTTGGGCTGCGGGTTTTAAGATAGTAAAAGGACCATTCGTAGCTGTACAGATGTCTTTATGCTTGGTAATTTGCTGATAGATCAATAACATCGAGTTGTTGATTTGTACGCTTACGATCTGTTCTTGCAACCTAACAACAGCGTATTTCTAATCTGACGCACCACGAACAGTTTTCTATCATTAACATTTGCGTGTTTTTCTTGTCTGATCGGTGGGTGGCTTGTTTCATTGTACTTTTGCTGTGACACATCGGCAAATTGCGTTTCAGCTAGGAGTACACATCATAATTCGTTTCGGCACATCACAAACCAACCAACCATACCCTCATACCTCTGCAAAATATGGTTTGGGAATATTTGTTCGCGTCATTAAGTCGATTGGATACTTCTGAAAACCAGCTTTTGATAACTTTGCCTTGAGTTTCCCTTCTCTTATATGAAATGCTAGATACTAGTGGCAATCTCGTTGCAGTATTCATGGAAGTTTTCAATACAATTTTATTGTTCATAGTAAATATTATAAAAATTGTATCCGATACCAAGTGTGACAACAATGTTGGTAATTACAGCATACATTCTTCTTTATTAGTGTGTGTATTCTCGGCATGGAATAACTTACTATATCCAAATGTTTTATACAAATTGAAAGAGACTATTAAATTGAAAACTTCAATGAATTTTGCAATGATATTACTACTATAATTTAGCATTTTATATATGACAAAGGAAAATTTATGTATACTTTTAGGGATGCGAATTTATCAAATGTTGTGTTCGAGAAGTATCGAATCTAGTTACGGACGAGAATAAGTATTTCCCAAACCATATTGCGCAGATGGGGGTGCGGGTGGTTTGGTTGTGATGTGCCGAAATGAATTCTGATGAGTACTCCCGGCTGAAACACATTCTGCCGATGTGTCTCCGCAGAAGTATGAAAAAACGAGCCGCCCACAGATCAGATCAGAATACCACACAAATGTTGATGATTGAGAACTGTTCGTGGTGCGTCAGATTCGAAAGATGTTGTTAGGTTGCGTGAACATATCGTAACCGTAAAGAACTGCAGCTCCATGTTGCTGGTCTGTCAGCAAATTATCCTTTATGCTTCGTTCACTTTCATTATGGCGAGTGGGTCCCATAGGGTCGGTGTTCGTCAACAGTCTGCAATTTCCCGGATTCGCCAGCACAACACTGCTGGCATTCCATTCCGTCGCCCGTCCGAACTCACGTCACTTTGGATTTCGTCGACGACGACAGCTGGACAAGGGTGACTCGACAAAAGGGTCGCAAGTCTCAGAATTGTGTTCTCTCGAGGTTGATTCGGAGTTTGTACAGCGGGTATGCCATTAGGTCCACGACATTTTACTCCATGTAATACTCCAAGGTCCGAAATTCGATAAGATCGGCCACGATGTACTCCGTCTGTACGGTATACATCTACTGTTGACTTCGCTAAAAAAACGCTATAAAACTTTGTGACCAATCACGACAGTCGCATAATGCCACCGACCATCGAGTCGCGCCCCCCGAATTGGGTGCGATCCCAGCATGCGATTGTCACCAACCAACCCGCGAGTGCGAGCTCGGAATTTTTTCGTGAACTGTGCTTGGAATTGCCCGGCCAATACGCGCTTGCCAGGGCGATCAGACGTAATCACGACGGAATAAAAAAGTGACAGCCAGCTGATACCACCGTCCACCTGGCAATTTTGTATGCGCGCTGACCTGGGCATGAATCCGTACCCCCTTTTCATCCATTCTGTCTTATTATTTCGGTCCTATTCTAATCCTCGTGTCAAGAACATTCGATGCGTTTTCCATATTTTATAACCAATGACACAAATATTCAGGCTTTTCGCGTGACACGAACAGGTCCGTCCCAAATACGAAAACAGGACCTACGGTCCCTTAATCACCATTAACCAATGCACATTTTGAAATGTTTTTCTTAAATGGTTTTTTTCACCTTCGCGAAAGTGTGTGATTGGTTAACGAAACTACTCAGGCGAGTCGTCATAATTTCGTTACGCTAAGCCCTTTTCGTGAGACCACGAAAAGGGTTTTTTCAAATTATATGATTTGCGCGTTTTGAGCCTGCGCTGCTTGCGAAAGGTCGAGAACGAGGTGTTACTTCTATTGTCCGCGGTAATTCTGACCAGACGACAAATTTGCTGAACGTTTTTTAAGAAGCCACATGAGCCCTCACATGACACGCGGCGAAGTCGCTGGTAACCTGGCCCAAGGGCCAATACGCCAAGGCACCCATCATGAACAGAAATAGTAAAACAGCCTACGCCATCCCACCTAAACCGTACGTGCTACTCGATAATCCATTTTGCCCGTAGTGAACCGCTCTTATTGGTCGTAGTCCATATCTGCGAGTCGCAGATTTGGAGCATAGAGCATACCGGCTGTAACAGTTTAGCCGTCGCTAGATCCCCTGCAGTGCTGTCGTCGCGCACCCCGCATGCGTGGCAACATTCTTGGGAGGTTCAAGCTCCATTTTGCACCCTTTGCTCCCTCATTGCGCTTCATCATCTGTTTCTAGCGTCATGCAACACTTCCTGCCCAGCTTTAGTAGTAGAATCATCAGCTCTTCTCGCCGGATTCTCTCGTCGCCCCACTTCCTGCTCGCATTCAGTCAGTGACGGTAATCCGCCGAATGCGTGAAGACTTTGTTTGATAAAAGTAGAATCTATCAACTATCGCCGTCTTTTTTAAGACGTCAACGCCGCAGCATCGCCGCTCCACCGTGGAAAGAATCGAGGCTGGGCTTTCGTTCCCGTCGCGTGGAAGCGCGCTCGCCATGCGACGCCCTGTCGGCATGAGCGCGGACGGCGCGGGAAGCCTTTGGCTCGGCGCGCTGTTCGTGCTGACGAGTCTCGTCGGGGTTTCCCCCGTCCTTTCTGCGACATACGAAGCCTCACAAGGTGCGTTTAGCACGCCATTAGACGCCGCTCTCTACTCGACTCCACAACTATGGCGAGTTCCGATCAAATGAGTCGCTCACGAGGGCCCGAGCTCCTGTCAAATGAGTGGAGACAAAGTTTGCGACTAAGTTGTCTCGTTTTAGTCCGAAGCTGTAGCAACTAAAATCGTCCTTGAAATAAGTTTGATGTTTTTAGCAGGTTGAGTCGGACTTGTCCTGCCAACACTGTGCCACAGTAAAGGGCCTCTCTTCAGTACTTGTTTATGACCGGTTGGCAGGGGAAACATGCCCAATTAGCAGTATCCTATGATATGGCCTTTTGGCTGTAAGCGCGTCCCAAAAATTGGGGGCCGAAAACCTATGCACCTACTTCGCACGTTCGCGGAAGCGCTATGCACCTACCATGCTCGTGAAGGCTATGTCTAAACGTGTTCATCAGTGAAGCATAAACATAGTTCCGAAATGCATAGCTCATAGCCTCATACAAAGCACCCACTTAGTGCGAGGTATGTCGAGGTGCATTGCGTTTACATTGTCCATGCTGACCTTCGTCGAATGATGCTGCGCTAGACGTAGCATCCACTATGCATGTGCATTGCGTTTACATTGTCCATGCTGACCTTCGTCGAATGATGCTGCGCTAGACGTAGCATCCACTATGCATGTGCTTTGTGTGCTTCCGTAATTTCTAT